TCCATTGCCAGAACTGATAACAAATGGTCAAACAGCTGCTCTCAGCTTCTGTTCCTTTGATATAATCTGCCTAAGTGAGAAGGATCTAAACATTAAACAATTGTGCCATCTCATATTTACATCTAAGTTACACACAGCTTGTTGCCCCACCTAATACAACAGTTCCATGAGGATAGAAGCTTTTTCAAAGGACAAGCCACATCTTCATTTATCTATACTTTCCTTAAGGACAGGGAGTGCTTTACCACTGACAGGCAAAATAGAGCTGTGAGCTCAATGGCCTGTTGGTAACGCCAGCCCTCAGGCGACAGGCAACATAACTGAAGAGACTATCCACAGAATTGAGTTTATAGAGGATGGGGGTGGGGGCTGGAGGTGCCTTTATGACAGTGGTGGAGAGGAAACAGATGCCTTGGTGAGGAATGGCGTGTGGGAACTATGAATGCACAAACCTTTCAGTAACACAGAGCTGGAAATCACAGTACCTCAATAAAAAAGCAAAATTAAAAGAACACAGTGATACCGTTTTTTAATTTTACTTTTTATAGCGTTTTACTGATGAGACAATTGTAGATTTCCTAAACAGCGTTAGTGCTCCAGAGGGCAATTCTGCTGGCCACATTCTCCTTTGAAAACTCTCAAGGAAACCACAGGACCTGGATTCTTTTAGATCCTGCTTTCCATCCTAATGTGGTCCTGAACCACAATGTTTACGTGTATAAAATGTAAATGACAATTGCCAGGCTTATTGATAATTTCAGGGTAAGTGATTTTGTGTAATTCAAAATCCTAAAGGGCTCAATATAAATAAATTATAAAGGTTAAATATAGGCACAACTGTGTGTGTCTGTTACCATCTCTGTTAAATAAAAATTCTAAAGTTGCTTCTTGCTTTATGAGCCGATCAAGCACTATTAGTAGGCTTAACCACAAGTAGGATATGTCAAAAGATGTATTTTTTTAATCAAATCATTTTGTTTTGATGGTCATTTGGCAAGATTTCTGCATACCTTGACCAAGTACAAAAGCGGACTTATATTGAAATAAATGTGATCATTCATTTTTATTTTAATGAAGATTTTTTCTAACTTTAAGAAAACAGCTTAGTGAGACCCCTCCTTGCGCCAAGAAACCCAGCCCCGGGAGCCAAAAACCTCCAGAACTCAACTGCTGCCATGCTCACTCAACAGTGAGCATGCTTGGACTGAGTCTCACCCATGAGTGAACCTTTTCCTGGATACTTCATACCACACCCGCCCCCCATAGTCCAAGAGTACTGCACCACATTTGATCAGGTTCAAAATAGGAGGCAACCAACCCTAGAGGGAAATATATTATTTTGGTTCTGCTTTGGGGCAGGGATTGGGGTTTGGGATGGAAACACTGAAATATGGTGGTGGGAGGGTGTAGTGGTGGTGAGGTTGGTGTTTGAATATTAAATTTAACCAAATATTGTGAACTATTTTATAAAATTAAAAATTTTTAAAAGAATATCCATGATATTTTCAACGAAATAGACCAAACACTCCTGAAATTTGTACAGAACAATAAAGCTCCATGGACAGTTAAAGCAATTCTGGGGAAAGAAAAGATGGGAGGCATCACCTTCTCAAAAAAAAAAGAACGAAAGAAAGAAAGAAAAAAGGAAGGGAGGGAAAGAAAGAAAGAAAGAAAGAAAGAAAGAAAGAAAGAAAGAAGGAAAGAAGGAAGGAAGGAAGGAAGGAAGGAAGGAAAGAAAGAAAGAAAGAAAGAAAGAAAGAAAGAAAGAAAGAAAGAAAGAAAGAAAGAAAGACAGCTTATGGGGCTGGAGAAATAGTACAAGGGTTAAAGTACTTGCTTTCATGTGACTGACCCTGGTGTGGTCCCCAGCACCACATATGACCCCCTGAGCACCACTAAAAATGATCCTTGAGCACAGAGCCAGGAATAGGTCCTGAGTACTGTTGGGTTTTGCCCCAACTCACTTCATCACCCATAAAAAAAAGAGAAAGAAAATAATTTATTTCTTGGGAATGTATAAAGATGCTCCCTTGTATCAAGCAACCAAGGGAATACCTTTGTCAATTTAATGATTCTTAGATCTTAATGCCTTGTTTAAGCCTCCTTTCTGTGTTAGTGTTTGTTTTTATTTTATTTGATATCCCCCAGGCCAGAATGTGAAACAAAGACATATGTGCATGTGGTGTATTGGGGGTAAGAGTCCAAGCAAGAGGAGTGACGATACAACGAGAGACAGTCAGAGGGGGAAGGAGAAAAAGTCCACTGAGGTTGTAGTACTGAGATCTTCCACTGTGGGCAGCTGGACTCAGTTTCTCTGTAGATCAAAAGGGACAGACTGTGAGAGACCTATAAAAAAGGGCTCAGATTTGCCACTTCCACAAACACCAAGCTGGAGAATTTATTAATGGACTTCCATACCGTTTAGCTGGGGATGCCTTGGGACCAATGACTCTCTCACACTTGAGGGCAGCCTTGTGCAACTTGTGGCTTTGCTAAGTACCCCAAGGAGAGAAATCCAGAGACATACAACCAGTGCTTGAGGTGAGCTACCATCAGGGATGCGACCATTTCTGTAGCTAAACCCATATGTAAATGGAGATCTGCTCAGGGAACCAAAGGCATCTGTTAGACTAAGAATTAAATGAGATCAGTGATCCACGCAAAATTACTATCAGGTTGTATTTTACTACACACAATTCTTTTGCCAAAGCTATTTTAAGAATGCCCTGCATAAAATTAACTGGGAATTTATGTTCAGGCAAAAAAAAAACCACATCACTTCTTAAAAATATTCATTTCCAAGTAATATTCATTGCGCAATTCCTGTCAAGATGTAATAGATAAAGAGCAAAATAAGCTCTCCCAGTTTTGGACTCTATGACTAATGAGTTATGTAACACTCTGACATGATTTCCTGAGCTCATTTTTCAAATCATGATAAACACTATTTGATATGGTTTATGTTTGCAAACTGCTCACTTCTCTACTACTCTAAAATGAAAGAAAAAATGGAGCAGGAAAAATCACTACTTTTATTATCTGTGTGATGTAAACAGTGTTATTTTCAAGCTCACTCTCCGTGCTTTATTGACTCGGCTGGTTCTGCTGCGCAGAAAAACAAATGACTGTGAACATGCTGTTCTTATTATGCTGTTCTTATTATTACAATGATGGAGGATGTCTGCTGGACCAGGAATCATGCTACACTGTATCTAAGCTTGATGCTCAATGAGCAACTTCATAAATGCACAGATATGAATCAACCTAATGGAAAGCTATCACTTCATTAGAGGCTTATGTTAACTGGCAATTCATCTTCTTGGAGAGCAGCAGTAAATCATGGGGAGTTATTAACAAAACTCTTTAACTTTTAAGCTTGCTAGAAAGAAAATATATGGCTGTTTCTATGCTCTCACAAGTTACTGATAGATTTACCTGTGGATTACTATAAAAGGGAAGAATCGTCTTCTTATTAATTTTTTTTTTTACTGTAGAAAACTTTTCTATTCATTTTTTTCGGATTTTTTTCTTTTTAAATTTTTCTAAAAATGTATGATTTATAAAGTTTTTGATAATTTAGTTTTAGGCATATAATATTTCAGCACTCAAATCACCACCAGTGTCAACGTCCCTCTGCCAGTGTTCCCAGATTCCCTCCAGACCTCCAGTCTTGACTTTCAACTTGACAGGCACATTACAAAGGTCTAGTGGTTGTAGCTTAGCTCACATGTTTTCTTTCTTTTTTTTCTTCTTCTTCTTCTTTTTTTTTTTTTTTTTTTTTTTTTTTTTGCTTTTTTGGGTCACATCCGGCATTGCACAGGGGTTACTCCTGGCTTATGCATTCAGGAATTACTCCTGGCGGTGCTTGGCGGACCATATGGGATGCTGGGAATCAAACCCGGGTTGGCTGCGTGCAAGGCAAACGTCCTACCCTCTGTGCTATCACTCCAGCCCAGCTCACATGTTTTCAACACTGTTGAGTCTGTGCTTTAGATACGTGGCTGAGCATAACATGAGGCCCCCATAGCCATGCCACCGGACTCCACGCCAGGCTGTTTTCACTTGGGGGCGCTTCAGAGGGGAGCAAGTGAGAGCCCTCCCATCCCAAGGGACCCAGCCCCAGCAGCCAACCTCCACAACCCAACTGCTGTCACACTCAAGGCTGCTCCCCACACAGTTCGGCTGAGCCTCACATATGAGTGAACATATTCCTGGACATATCATAAGACACCCCCTACCCATTCTCCATAATTACAACACCATATTTGATGGGGTTCAGACAGTAGGCAACAAATCATAGAGTGAAATATATATGCATATATACATATTTCAGATATATATATATATATATATATATATATATATATATATATACCAAAGCTTACATCACCCAAACTTTAACATGTTAATGATATCCTATAGAATGTCTTAGTGGCTCCTGCCAAAATAGAACAATCTTCACACTGTTTCCTATATGGACACTTTTTTGTAAGCATGTTCAGCAGTTCTTCATAACAGACAATACAAAATATATTCTTTCACTTGTGTTTTGGGACAGGGATTGGGGTTTGGGATGGAAACATCCCAAATTTGGTGGTGGGAAGGTGTAACTGTGGTGGGATTGGTGTTCAAATATTAAATGCAATCAAATATTGTGAACTAACTTATAAAATTTAAAAAATTAATATATATATGGCTGTACCAATCACTCATATCATAAGAATAACTGAAGCTCTGATGTCTGTTTACCTATTACTTCCATTTCCTTCCTTGTTCTTCTTTCTAATCCTTGCGATCAAGGATGACTTAAGCATCCCTCCTTAACTACAGTACATTTTCATGTATTCTATAGTTCACAGATAAGTGAGATCATTCTATGTTTGTTTTTCTTGGGAAGAATCCCTCTTCTGTGGCTAATATAACTTCACGAACCGAACTCCATACCCCCAAATGGCAAATGCAAACAAGTTGACATGTTGGTTCACAGAAAACATCCTTACCAGTTTCTGCCCTGATAGGACTTCCAGAAGTGCAAGCAGTTTAACTCCATCCTTCATATCTTCAAAGAGGTCATCTATCACCATCGGGGGTTTGCGCTAGAAAATGAAATTAAAATGAATAAATGCAAACATCTCTATCTCTTCCCTATCCACTCATTGTAATGAATTAGTCGAAGGTATTACGTTACCAAAATTCTTTGTTTTTAAATGATTGGCAACTACCAACTGTTAAGGGGGGAAAATTCCTTTAGGGATAAATTGAACAGGCAAAAATTTCAGGAGATTCAAAGTTTCACAGATCCAATCAGTGTTTTTCTCAAGAGGGATTTTTGTCTAGGGTGTAACTTTGTCATACAATCAAAGAAAAGAAAATCATCAAGCGAAAAAGATGAGAGAAATCTTCAAACAGGACTAAAAGACAAGAAGGAGATGTTACAAAAAAATGGAACTGAGATTCCTACTTTGCTATTTAGCATGCATAAGGCCAGAATTTAATCAACACTTACTTCAAGAAACTCTAACTCTGAAATTTGCATTTTAAGATTGTCAGGTCACTGGACAGATCTAATCAGTCACCCGGGGACCATCTGGTGGCACTTTTTCACAACCCAGAGAAATAATTTAGCAAACCTGTCAGTGAGACATCCAGGAGCTCAAACTCAATCAGGAATAACTTTGTAAATTACAGCACCTTAATAAGTTACAGTCATATAAAAAAGAAATACAGACTGAATACTAGAGAAAATCCATTGCCATATTGAAAATTAAGTCAAAGCCCATTTTCAATCCAAAGAGGTTATTTTATATTTTTAGTAAAAGGTTTTCAAATTATTTGTGTGCTAGAATTCATCAAATCTTGAATTAAGTTCTAGCATGGTGCAGAAGAAAGTAAAGAAGTACCGGTGCTAATGTTGATGGTAAACCAAGGTAAGCATACTTGGATTTCTTACAGAATGAGTAAGTTTTCTCCAGGTAGAACCGGGTTTCAAGTTTGAGGGTTTTCTGATTTTCACTAAATCCTATAAATCCTACAATGAGGTTAAATTCCTGACCTCCAACTGTCATTCTTTCCTTTAAAAAAATTTCTATGTAGAACTATTTATCATCAAATGTTTTATTGAAATGTGCCTTTTTCTTCTACCTGCTTGGTGAAAACGTTTTTATTTTTCTTGTGACTTCATAAATTTCAATCTCTGAATGGTATAACTTTAATTTAAATGCATTTTTTCTCTTTTTAAGGTGAACAGCTGACTATGTTCTGCTCTCCTACTGCAAAACTCATATTCAGAAATAATAGGGCTTTAATTTTCAAGCATTGTCTTTTAACTTTAACTATTTAAGAAAATCCCATTACTCACACTGTGTTTCTTATATGAGAAACAAGTAATAATGACTCTATATTCTAACTACATAAATAAAATTATACAGAATAAAATGAGACTCTACCACAAAAACTCTAGCATAATAAAAATCACCAATTAACTATGGAGCCACTGAATTATATCTATTTATTATCCAAAATATACATTTGTATTCAAATAACTCAAATACAATGGAATAATTTAAAAGTTCGCAAATTTGTGGTCTATTCAGTGAACAAATACAAATGAAGCTTTTCATACACAGGCATCCACTACTTTTCAAAAGTTCACATTATGTAATAATAGGTATAGTAGTTCTCAGGTTCTTGTCTTTAGCATTTAAGACTGAAAGCAAGTGACTGGAGCTGAAATAGCCAAATTCAGAAACTGTTTTATTTAATAACTGTTTTATTTATCTAAACGTTGGGCATGGGAGTCTCCCGGTGGACGTTTCCACAACGAAATAGACCACATCATATTCAATCGACGGTTTTGCCAGACCGATGTCGCTGTTGTCCCAAAATTCCAAACGGGATCGAACCACCATCTCCTTCGTGCAAAATTCTACATCACAGAGCGGGGAGAAAGGGCAGCAAAGTTCAAAAAGAGAACTCCCAGAACGACCACCAAATGGGAGCTCTTTGGCACTATTGCGGCAACATGGGAAGATGCCATTGTTGACAACATTGACAAGGAATATGATCGACTGGTTCAGCATCTCCATGATTGTGCGAGGAACGCCAAGAGAGAGATAGCCACAAAAAAATGCCTGTCTTCGAAAACTCTTGAGCTTATTCGCCAAGGTGGTTTGGAGCATGCCTCAGGCAACCGCAAGCGAAGGTCTGAGCTCACAAAGCAGTGCAGAGATGCAATCAAGGAAGACGTCAAAGAGAGAAGAGCAGAAGTGCTGGTAGATGTGGCAGAAGCCGGGAAAAGTATTCGTAATGCCCACCTGTCCTTCGCCAACTACAAGACCAAGATGACTGCCCGCCAACGTCCTGATGGATCCATCACATCCTCCAGAACGGCAATGGAGAAGATTATCCATGACTTCTACTCAAATCTCTTTGATAGCCATGTCTACTTGTCGACATACCAAATTCCACAGGATGGATATGTCATTCCCAATGTTCTCCCGTCCGAAATCTGACACGCCATTTTGTCAGTAAAGAAACAAAGAGCACCCGGCCCAGACAAGGTCAGACCTGAACACCTGAAGAACCTGCCGTCAGTACTCATCAATACACTGGCTCGGCTCTTCACATGCTACCTGTCTGAATGCAAGGTTCCGTCCCAGTAGAAAACCAGCAGAACCGTACTACTGTTCAAGAAGGGAGACATCTATGACATTGGCAACTATCGCCCGATCTGCCTATTGTCTGTCATCTACAAGTTATTCACTCGAGTCATCCAGAATAGGATTGGCAGAACACTAGATGAAGGACAACCATGTGAGCAAGCCGGGTTCCGCAAAGGATTCAGCACCATCGACCATATCCACATGATAACCAAGCTCATTGAGGTTTCTCGGGAGTTCAAGATGCCGCTCTGTCTAACATTCATTGATCTAAAGAAGGCCTTTGATTCTGTTGAGACGGAAGTGGTCATTGAAGCCCTAGCCAATCAGGGCATTCAAACACAATATATCAAGATCCTTCGTGAGCTGTATTACGGATTCACTACCAGGATCTCACCATTTTACAAAGAAGTATTCATTGATGTCAAGAGAGGGGTTCAGCAGGGTGATACCATTTCACCAAAACTCTTCAGTGCCACCCTCGAGAACATCATGCGACGACTGGAATGGGAAGGAATGGGAGTGAAGATAGATGGTCGGCAATTACACCACCTCCGCTTTGCTGATGACATTGTTTTAATAACACCAAACATCATCCAAGGGGCACAAATGCTGGTCGACTTTGACCGTGAGTGTGGAAAGGTAGGACTACAGCTGAATCTTACGAATACAATGTTTATGAGAAACAGCCTCATTCCTGATGCCCCAATTGCTCTCAACGGAACAACCATCTCCGAATGCAACAGCTATGTGTACCTAGGTCGAGAAGTCAACATGACAAATGACATGGCACCTGAGCTGCGCAGGAGGAAGAGACCGGCTTGGAACACCTTCAAGAGTGTCGAAGAAATAGCTAAGAGGACGAAGAACCACTGGCTCCGGGCACATCTCTTTGATTCCACTGTTCTTCCTGCATTAACATATGCCTCAGAGACCTGGGCCCTATGCAAACAGGATGAGAACGCTATTCAGGTCTCCCAAAGAGGAATTGAAAGAGCTATGCTTGGAATATCACATTTCACTCAAATGAGAGAAAGAATCCGGAGTTCCGACATCTGTTGACGATCAAGAATCAGGGACGCTGTCTCATTTGTCAAGGTGTCAAAAATCAGATGGGCTGGTCACATAATGAGATTTAAAGACGACCGCTGGACTAGAGCTGTTACCGACTGGATTCCATGGAATGTCAAAAGACCGCGTGGCCGCCCACCTACCAGACGGTCAGACTTCTTCATCAAGATCATGAACGATTGGTTTGAGGATCTTCATGTTCCTAGAGCGAACAGACGCCACTGGGCTACACTAGCACGCGACAGGGACAAATGGAGACGTTACTGGCACCCACTCGGGCAAATCGACGACTAACGGGAAGTCAAGTGATCAAGTGATCAAGTTTTATTTAGGGGAAGAGAAGGAAGGGAAAAAATGTCAGAGAAGCTCCCAGATTATTGCCAAGGTGTTCTGAAGAAGGATCCCACAGAAATGCAGAGACCTTCAGGAGACTTGTTGTTACTATTTTTGGCATACTGAATACGTCACGGGTAGCTTGCCAGGCTCTCCGAGAAGGGCGGAGGAATCAAACCCGGGTAGGCCACATGCAAGGCAAACACCCTAGCCGCTGTGCTATCGCTCCAGCCCTCTGCTTGTCTTTCTTCCTGCTCTCTTGTCTCCTTTCCCTCCCCCTAAATAAAATCATTTCTGAATTTCTCCATTTACTCTCCTGTTCTCCTGTTCTCAACTGACTCAGGATAAAAACCTGAGTATATGATGCTACTTCGATTTTATTTAAAATTTACATTGGTGGAACTGGAGTGATAGCACAGCGGGTGAGGCATTTGCCTTGCATGCAACTGATCAGGGTTCGATCCCCGGCATCCCATATAGTCCCCCTAGTACCACCAGGAGTAATTGCTGAGTTCAGAGCCAGGAGTAACCCCTGAACATCGCTGGTGTGACCCCAAAAAGCAAAAAAATAAATAAATAAAAATAGATTTACATTGGTACCTGTTTTCATGAATCTAAAGAAATCTAAAAATTTTTTTGCTTTTAGTTTCTTTTTTTTCTCTCTGCTTTTTGGGGTCACACCCAGTCATGAACAGGACTTACTCCTGGCTCTGCACTCAGGAATTACTCCTGGCAGCGCTTGGAGGACCTTATGGGATGCTGGGGATCGAACTCGGGTTGGCCACATTGTACTATTGCTCCAGTCCTTATTTTGCTTTTTTATGGTTGCTTATGTGTGTTGGCACAAAGCAAATGTGCTGTGCAGAGCTGGTTTTGCAGCAGCTGTTAGAGACACAGCTGCTTCTCCCGAGGGGGCAACCCCCCCCCCCCCAAGCTCCTTCCCCAGAAACCTGTTCCATCAGGCTGTGACCGGATCACACCATTCCTGCAGCTTCTACCACTTAGCGTGATTTTAGGTTTTATGCTTATTGCGT